AACGAGCCCAAACGAGCCCCAGAAGCAAAATAGTACAAACAGCCCCGCGCGCCGCGGCGCGACAACCCTCCGCGGCGCGGCACAACACTCCTTCGCGGCGCGGCAACTCCTCCGCGGCGCGACAAGGCCTTTCTCCGCGCCGTGGAGCCTCCGCGACCCCGACAGAGGCTTCCCAGGCCTCCCAGCATCGCGCCGTACCACCCCTCGCGCAGCGGCAACCTGCTGCCTCGCGCCGCGCCAGACTTTTCTCGCGCCGTGACCTATGAGTTATATAAATATGGGATGCGACTTCGACAGAAAGGAACTCTCCCCTTCTGGGGATGAACCCTAGCCCGTAAAAAAACACGAAACTCCTTTCTCCTTCCCTTCTTCTTCTTCTTCTTCTTCTTCTTCTTCATTTTTCTTCGTTCTTTTCACTTTTCTTTTCCATTTTTTTCTTCTTCTTCTTCTTAGTTAGGGATTAAGCTTGTAATTAGAATTTAACATTTGGACTTGAGATTATTGGTAAGTTTCGTTTCTCTCTTGTTTAATTCATGAATAATGGTTAAATCACTGATACACACATCCAAACATTTATGAAGTCTAAGAGCAAGAATTTTAGAGAGGAACTTATACACAACTGTGTACAAACTGATGGGTCTGAATTGATTCACATACTCAGGATTGAGGCATTTTGGGATGAGAGTGACTATTGTGTGGTTCTAGTACTTCAAAATAAGGCCTTTATAATTTAAGAAGGTGGAAATGGCTGACACAACATCATATTTGATTATATCCCAAAAAGATTGATAAAATAGAGCAGTCATACCATCCTCTCCTAGAGACTTGTCAGGTTGAAGGCTGATAAGTGTTGCTCTTATTCCTCTTCTGAAACTTGTTGAAGCAAAAGTTGGTTCATATCAGCTGAGATTCAGGGAGTGATAAGAGGAAGAATTGAATCCCCACTCCAAGATCCTTCAGAGGGGAAAAGTTCATAGTAAAACTGTGTGATATGGTTCTGAATAGTTAACTGAGTGTCACAGATGGTATTCTGATTTGTAAGTAACCGAGAAATTGCATTCTGTCTCCTCCTAGACATGGTGTAAGCATGAAACAATTTCGAATTGTTGTCCCTTTCTTGCAGCCATCTAATTTTTGCCTTTTGCTGCCAAAACAATTCTTCTACTTTGTTAGCTGTTTGGAGATCTTTTCTGGTGGTAAGCCACTCATCCCAGTTAGCAGAGATCCCTTCTTGCTGTAGTGAGTTCAATTTTTTAGAGAGGTTGTCTATAGCTTGTTGGTTCTGAGATTTAAAATTGGCACTCCAAATGAGGAGAGCATGTCTGGTAGCCTTGACCTTTTCCTTTAAGATGAAGAATGGAGTTCCAGAGTAATTTGTGCTCCAAGCTCTTTGAACCACTTCAGAAATTCCCTCCCTAGAGAGCCATCTTCTGTCAAAGTGAAATTTGCTTTTCTTCCTATCTTTCTTATCCTCTGACTGAAGAATCAACAAGGAGTGATCTGAAGCTGATTTAGCAATGTTGGTAATAGTAGCTTGAGGATGGAGTTCCAACCTGTCAGGTGATGCAAATCCCTGTCTAATTTGGCTTCAATCAGACCCTCAGCAAATCTGTTATTGTACCATGTGAAATTGTACCCAATCATTTTAATTTCCTCCATCTTCATACAGTTGATGAAGGAGTTGAAACCATTCAGACTAGAAGTGGACCTGGAATGCCACCCCTCTTCTCTTCACCATTCCAAATATCATTCCAGTCACCTATTATGTGCCAGAGGTGACCCCACAATTGTTGATCCACCTTCAGTTCTTCCCATTGGGACTGCCTAATAAGAGGGTTGGCGCTTATGTACACAAAAATCCCCCAAGTTGGGGTAGAATCTGCTATTTTGTATTCAACAGCAATGTAGAATATCTTCTTGACAATCTGAATGATTTGAACTTAGAAGACCAACATAAAAGCAAGCCTCCACTCAAACCAACAGGATCCACAATAGAACATCTGTTATCAAAACCCAACTTCCTAGTTACTGACTTGACAAAAGCAGCTGACTTTTTAGTTTCTGACAAAAAAATGAAAACTGGGTGGTGAGTCCTACATGACTCTCTGATTTGGAATATTGTAGAGGGCCCACCCAGCCCTCTTCAATTCTACACCACAGCTAGCATTGGTCACTTGGGTGCCATTCTAGGTTGGTCATCCCCACTTGCTCTGATTCTATTTTCTGCTTTTTACTTTCAATATGTTCTGCTTTCTGAGGATCATTCTCTTCATTACTGATTTCAGCTGTGTCTTTGGTTCTCTTGACTGTATTACTAGCCTTCTGGTTGTTGTGAATGAGAGGTTGCCTCAGCAGCCTACCAATTTTGGATTCAGTTCTTTTCCATAACTTAGGTTTGTACTGGTGCTTCCCTGAAACAGTAATTTCTCGAGACCTCTCATTGGCAGCTTCAATCAAAGGGTTTACAATTTCCATTTCCTTGCTAGAGTTGATGACTGGTTGTTGAGGTAATCAGTCTTCCAGAGGAACTTTGGATGTAGTATTAACATTCTGCTGCTGCTCAATAGGAGCATGAGTTAAGGCTTGAATTGGTTGAGAAGTTGAAACTTCAGAATTTGGTCTATTGTGTTGGGATGGAGAGCCTTCTATGGAGAGGAGTTTATTGCTATCATTTCCTAGAGATGGCATTTGGGAGTTTGAGTGAGGAAATGAAGTATTGTTTGTGTGAGGTGGGCTCTGAGAACCAGAAGAGTGATGTCCTGCCCAGTGATGATTTTCAGTGGCCCTCATCCAAGCACCATATTGACCTTCTTGTAAAGAGTGAGATTTAATATCCTCCAACCTTCTAGGACATGTTCTATCCAAATGGCCTATTAAACCACAGTAGTGACAATGGTTTACCAATTTCTCATACTTGAACCCAACATTAACTGTTTGATCATCAAGTCTAAGGTTAGCACAATGGGGTAGAGGTTCTTATAAATCAACTGTTACCAGCAACCTCATTATTCTACCTCCGTGGCTTCCTGCACCCACTATGACTACATTCTGAACCTGTTTAAACACCTTACCTATTTTCAATCCAACCTCAGTGCTGAAGCCAATCCAAAGGTACATTGAATACCTGAACCCATAAATTGAGCTCATGAAATGTGGGATGAGTGATTGAAAGGCCTCTTTTCCATTCAGACAAGATGAGGTATTGATTATCATATATGTCCAGTTGATACCTTTGGCCACTTTTTCTTTGTTTTCTTTGCACTGAAAGATAAACTGGTAGTAGTTTGGTCCCAAATCCTTTATCTCCATGAGTTGACTTAGCCGCCAAATGTGGCTCATAGCCCTCTTAACCCCCAATCCAGGTGGTCTTTCTATCTCCAACCATTTTGCCGAATAAACTACGTTGGCATTCATCTATGAAATTGTTCTCCCTAGCTGATAATGAAACACTCTGGAGCTTTTGAGCTAATTCTTCGTCTTGGCCGACACAATTAGGAGTCCCCATGAAAAACCCCAACTCAAATCAAATAGAAAAAGGGCAGAAAGAGGAGATTGAGAACTATATAAAGCACAGCATAAATGGAGAGAGGGTGAAACAAAAGGAACTAAGCAAAGAGAGGAAAAACGGAGATGGCTACAAACAGAAGTTGATCGCTCTCACCGGAGAGAATGTGGATCTATCTAATTCAGAAAGGTCATCCTATAGTTTTGAACTAATTTGCAATCAATGGGTAGAATATTTTGTATCTAATTTAAGAATTTTTGTCAAATTAGGATTTTTTTTACAATTAATTCAAATTAATTAAATATCCATAATTTGTGGGATTTTATTTCGTTAATATTTGAAATGCTAATCTGCTTAGCAGAAATTCTATGGCGCCCATATGGGCACCATATGGTGCCATAATCTCACGATCCAACGCCTAATATCCATTCTATGTTCTTTTAAAATAGAATGTATTCCTTTTGAAAACCAAAATGATCCTTGAACAAATATTGGTCAATAAAATTCAGAATTTGTAATTAAAATTCTACAGATTTAGTTGATAAATTTGAACGATAAGGTAAACGACAAAAAATTTAAAAAATTGTAAAATTATATATATATATATATAATATATATATATATATATATATATATATATATAATGTATTCTGTAATCAAACTTTGGATTTCAAGTTTACAAATCAAATAAATATTTATTAATAACTTATGGGCCAGTATTAACTTGGCGTAAATGAATAGTCAAGTATTTATAGTTTAATAAATATTCAACTACCTTCCTTTGATTTGGATAGTTTATACAAACATAAATTTATTTTAATTAATGAAACAATATAAGTTCTATAATTTTACTTATTATTCTCACAGGTTTTTAAATATTTTATACAAGTTTAGCAAAATATTTATTTTGTGGAATCGCATTGTAGTCAAATCAAATTTGTAAATAAAAATTTAAAAAATGACACTTATTTTGAAATGCATTTAATGTAATTTATTATTTGTTAAGTGCACCGTACGGATTGTATACTAATTTTAAATAGACATGTTTTATATAATTGTGTACAATTTAAATTTCATATAACAATTTCAAAAAAAATAACATAGGTAAATCGTATTACATATTGATTCCAAAACTTTAATTTTTAGATATTATTTAATAAGCATTTTTAATTTATAAATATTAATAAATATCTCTTACCCGTGCATCGCACGGGATTCGTACTAGTAAAATATAATAATAACACACATCTAATGTTATAATTCTGTTCTTAATTTCGGTTCTTCAGTTCGGTATGGTATAGGACGATTCGGTTCAGTTCTCGGTACGAATGTTTGTGAAAGCTCCAGAACCGTACCAATTATTTTTTTGGTTCAGTTCGGAGAAAACCAAACGATGAATAGTTATTTTTCGGTTCAGAGCGATTTTGGTTTGGTTTTCGGAACGGTTCGGAATTTTCCGAGTCCCATGCTCGGTCCTAAAATTGACACAGTGAAATAATTTGAAAACCCTGCAACAGGCTGTTAAGAACAGTAGAGCTAGTCCAAAAAGTTATAATAAAAATTATAGAAGCAAAAAGGTAACACAATTACCAGTCATCCTCAAGAGATTGCTACAGAGGTATTGGAGGAAAAAAAAATGAAACAACTGTTAATGAGAATATACATTCAAAAAGCAAGTATATTTACAAGTGAACCATGCTGCATTTGCATATGATATACATCCTTCTTCAATGAAACTCAACTTCTTCATTTTCTCATTTATCTTCCACAGGTCGGCCCCCATATTCGTATTGTATTATCATCACTAGCCGAAGCTAACATCTGGGGTCGTTTTGGATTCCAGCTGACACAATTTACAGTCATTGAGTGACCAGATAAGATCTCAATCGGATCAGAACATCGGCGGTTCCATATGTAAACCTATTTAAAAGAAGACAAAAACCTTCAGTTCAATCACTTGGCAGATTATAAAAATAGACCCGATGTTGGGCATAATTTAACAGTGCGTATATAGTTATGTACCAAATATGAGCAACTTTTTTCTACTTTACAAATTGCACGTAGAAGCAGAGATAGACATTTGCTCCTCCAGTGATGAGGAATCCCATGATTTTCAAGTTCCGAACAATACTAAAGGAATTTTTTTAAAGTAAAAAAAGAATATAATTATAGGCACTAAAAAAAAAAAAACAATTGGCTAGGGCAAGTCCAGCAAGATTGCTCTCCCAAAAAGAGAATATTTGGTGGGTAAAACAAACTTCAGAGGCAGCAGCTTTTGGTAGTTAACAAAAAACACCACCCCGGAACCTGACCAAACTAAAAATATTCCCTCAACACTTAAAATCTCTCAAGCAAGAAATGCACCATTTACCAGGCAAACACACAATTTCAAGCTGGGTTTTTTCATTTTTGTGCACACTTTAAACAGAATATCCCCACAAAAGATATTACGAGTACATTTGTAATGAACGACGAGCTCGGTTACCTTGGAATCCTCACTGCCACTGGCAATAAACATGCTGTTGAGCCCACCAAAGCACGAGCGTATGACATACTTCTTCTGCCTGTGGCCTTTATAACACATCGCGGGGCCCACCGACCCCCCTCCAACACCCCACAAGTGAATCTCCTGACTATTAAGGCTCACAATCAAAAACTCACTGTCCCCCGACACCGACAGCGACGTGATCGAGTGCTCCTCAGGAATCACGCGCTCGGCACCCGTCCCAACATTCATTATCCGAATCTCCTTATCTGAAAATATGCTTACGAGATTTTCCCCATTAGGGGTAATGGCTAGATCGAGCACCTTGGGCATGCGGGCCCCTTTCCAGGCCCGGATCTCGTGGCCATCACAGTCCCACATGCGGATTCCTTTCTTGGGGACAGAGCTGCCACAGACGAGCCTGCGGGAGTCGGGAAACCAGGCGCACGAGCTTACAGTGAATTCGTCAGTGCCGAACGTGTGGCGGCAGATGCCAGATTGGACGTCCCAAAGCTTGAGGACTTCAATGTTGCCGCAAGTGAGGAGCATGCTGTCGTCTGGACTCCAGGACACGAAGGAGATGGGTTTTTTGTGGCTGCGTAGCGTGTGCTTTAGGGTTATCTTGTTGTCATGCTGCACCTGGGGGAAGATTGAAAGGGAAAAGGGAGGGAAAAGAAGGGGAGAAAGGAAAAACAGATATTATATACTTCCTCCGGATAGGCTTGTTTGCTTTT